TTCATCTGTAATTGCCCGCAGAGGGAACTGGAGCAGAGATGGAGCGGATCTGTGAATCCACCCACAAGTTCCTGACCTTTGCAGGAAAATTCATCCTCCCACCCATTGCTGTCCCAGGCAGACGGATGGGTAGGCAGGCAGAACTGCTGAAGCTTTCATTAGTCAAGGGCCGGACACTGGTGATTTAGGACTGTGGATAGACACTAGGAAGAAGAGGCTTATGCTCAACCACACATAGTTCAGTTTTTGCTGATTTGTTCATAAAGGGATAGGGAGAGGAAAGCCTTCCTACCTTTTAATATAAATTGGATTCGAACCCTGCAAAATTAGGACACACTAAATAGACAGAGGAGGAAAAGGGGAGGGCAGAGAGATAAGGAGGGTGAGGAGAAGAGGAATGTGATAGAGAGAGAAGGCAAGGAGAAGAGAAAGGGGGAGAAAGGGAACAGAACGGGGCAAGAGAGGGAGTTATAGAATGGGGAACATGAGGAACACTAAGGGGAAGGGGCAGGTAGGAAGAGAAGTAGTCCACACTTCATAGACACATGAAGAAGTTTTGGAGTTCATTGCTGAACTCCAAAGAATGAGTCTAATGGCATTGGAGTGGGCAAGGTTTGAGTCCCAGGAGCTGAGCCTGAGAGCAGAGACCAAATTTCCATGGCTACCTTTCACAGGCCAGCCCGTAGGCCGCCTCCCTGCAAGGGCGCAGCACGCCTGGAACTGTCCAGATATGTGGTGCTGAAATGTCAGAGGATCACGAACCTCCCAGATAGAGCTGCAGGTCCTAATTTTTAAGTACCTACAATATGTCAGTCATTGTACCAAGAACTGGGGAAATCAGCAATGAATAAAACAGACAAAAATTCCAGCATGTATGAAGCTAAAATCTTATAGGAGACAAAAGACTTTTCCATTAGAAAATATCAACTTCTGGGCCTCCCTGGTGGCACAAGGGATTGTCTCAGCACCTTGAAACTATCTGCAGCTACTGAAGGAAGAGCTCGATCCCCAGCCAGGGAGGTGACCCACATGGCACAGCAGATCTCTCCTGTCTTGTCCACTGCTCCCCTCCCCTTTTCACTCAATTCCACTGTTCTGCTCCCCACTCTGTCTCTGGTGAATCCTCTTACCACCCTCTATCTTCCACACTTCTGGCTTGTGCCCCAGCTTTTGTATGCAAAATAAATAAGAAAATGTCAAATTCTATGGAGAAAAATAAAACAAAAGAGTTTAGCAAATATACCCACAAAGAGTGGTCATATGTTTTTCCCCAGAGAGGTGACACAGAGATGCAGAATGCCTGGGCTGGGTAGAGTCCCATATAAAGGTTGTGCTGATGTTGGGTCACAAGTTAGGGGACTCTCCATTGGGCAGCTTTCAGAGGTCAGACTCCAACCCCATTCAGCTGTCACTGGGGTCTCTCATTCTTCTAAACTCAAACCACCTGGGCCTCTACTCTGCCAGATAAATAGGTATCCACTCTGTGCATAGCACCAATTTAGGACTGGGTGATTTGAGACACTGAGTTCACCTCTTTCCTGTCATTAGGTCACTCAGACAATCTACAGCACTCTGACCTCAGTATACCCATCTATAAAATAGGAACAATGGTCCTTGCCTAGTAAGCCAGATTTTAGAAAGTACCAAGAAAATGGTAATTGGGTTTCCTCTGCAGTACACACCAGAGGGGTTCCCCCTCCCTGGGGTCTCATTCTTCAGAGTCCAAAAGTATTATCCTGTAGGTGCAGAATGAATAGAGTGAATAACAGTAATGCTTAGCCAAAGTTCACGAAGAGCTTTCTTGCTTTCTCCTTCACATTGCAGTCCTATTCCTGAAGAGCACTAACTGTGGGGCCCATGGGAGCCCAGAGGGCAATCAAGGGACAGCGGAGGTTGAAGCACAGTTCTGAGAGGGTCCATCAGTATGGGCCACTGTGAGAGACAGCTGGGGACAAAAAGCATCTGTGGTCAACAAGTTTGACAAACTTGGCACACTCAACTCATCTTTGGAAAGTTCCCAATGCTCATCACCAAGTCCAGGCCCCAAGAACCCTATTTAACTCTGTTAGCCACAAAACTCCGTCTTTTCCTGTCCTTTTTTTTTTTTTTGAGGAACGCCAATCATCATCCTGATGGTGCTTTGGGAAATGCTGGGAAGGGCTTCAGGGTGCTTGTTCCAATGAGACAATTTTGGACATTTATAGGCCTATGGTGTTTAGTGTGTGTCTATCACATAGCAGGTGTTCAAAAAACATGATAGATGGATGGGTGGATGATATATTGTTCTCCTCACTTCCAAAGTGTAAAAACAGCAGGGAGGAAGGGGAAGATTTCAGCCCCAATTTAAGTCACCTCTACTCTACACTATGAAAAGGGAACTGATAAAATGCATTTGCTGATTCACCCAATGACAATGGAGTGGTAAATAATGTGGTGGGTCAGACTATGGAAGGAATAATGGACTAAAAATGGGGGTAAAGGAGAGCAGATATAAATTCTTGGGGGCTAACCTAAAGGACCCTTTGGGCTGCTGACCTCAGAGTTCCACCTCATGTCATATTGCAGGCACATAAACCATGCATGGGACTTCTTGGAATCCACAGGCAGCTTTAATACCATGGTTGTAGCCTCCTGACCTTGACAAATCCTCCCTTGGCCCCTCCCCCTCTTTTAACCAGCCCCTTTACACTCTATCTTGCAGTCAGCTGCTTGTCAGCCCTCCCACACCTAGAGAATGTATCTGCATTCTGCAGCTGACTGAAAAGACCCAAAGCAATAAGGCTCTAATGGCAAAATTCCAAACAAAATAACCAAATGGGGATCCACATGAGAGCAAGGGGGACCCCCGGCCCACACCACTCTCAGAAGCCTCCGTCACTCACCTTCATCCTAGCACCAATTGCAAACCAGCCCTTCCGCCCCCTACAAACTGGAGCATGACTGGATATTTGAATGGGGGAAAAGTGCTTCATCATGTTCTGCTTCTCCAAGTGAAGCCAGAAACTCCCTCCTCCCCCCTCTTCTCCAAGGCACTTCCTTCCAGTAAAACGTGGTTAAAGGCACAGAGCACAATCGCACCCCCTTCTCTGAGGGTCAGCTTAGAGTTAAGGGGCAGGGAATGAGGTGGAAGGCAAAGAGAAAAAACTGGCAGAGGTCTTCCCTGGGGGAGTCTATTTGCTCCATCCTGAGACCCTCAGAAAGAAACTAAACTGGGAATGCGGGGGGTTGGGGGGGTGTTGAGATAAGTCAGAGAAGCTCAGACCTGAGAGAGGCCCTCAAACCTAATTCTCAGGGGGTTGCAAGCCTCCCAGCACCCCCTGGGGCCACTTCTAGTTTCCGGTAGAGGAGTGGGTTCATTCCTCCAGTGTGTAGGGGAGAGTGTCACGGTAAAGAGGACTGAACTCCTACACAAAAGTCCGAGGGCTGCTGAGGGCTGCCTGGGTCCCTTGGCTGTCTGTGTGAGGCTGTCATGTCATTCACCCATCCCTCCTCACTTTTTAGGCTGTAAAGCACAGGCGTCAAGCCAGGGGGAGATGCACTCTTCCCTCTTCTCCCAAGGTAAAGGCAGAGGTTAACTTTTCTTCCCCATCAAGGAGCAGGTTCTGTCCTGACATTGAGATATTGCCCCCACCCCAAGGCATCTGATATGAGACCAAGACCCAGAACACACCAAATAACACCAAAAGTTGCCAACTCCCATATCCCAGAGATCCTTTTTGAATCCCCAAAAGCATCCCACCCCTATACTGGGGGATGAAAAGGAATACCTATAAGGCACCCTTTTGTTGTGGGGGTGGGGAGGGCAAGAGAAAGCAACCTCCACATCCAAGGCTGTATGTAGGGCCTCCGCCTCCAATTCAATACGAGACCCCACTCCCCAGAGCAGAAGCAGTCTGGGAGCCGAGGGTCTCAGGTTGAAGACCTTCCTCAGGGCAAGGTCGGCTCTTTGTACGGACCCCTTTGTGCAAGGGCCAAAGGACATAATTTGTTCAAGGTCACTTGGCCTGCAAACTGGCACTGACCTCAGTGTGCAGACCCTTGCCAGAGTGATTACGGACACACCCGTCATTCCCCTCACCTCACACAGGTGCAGCTCTTCCAACATCATGCTCAGTTCCCCACAGCACCCTCATTCTGGGTTCTTTGACCCCCACACAGCCCAGTTTCCTGCTGCCTATTCACAGACCCTCTACATACTTCACGGAGGTTCCCCTTTGCTGGGATCAGTGGCAGTCTCTGCCTTCTAGCCTGCGTACTACTCTAGACTTTTTGGGGTCCACGGGGTCTCCCAACCCCCATCCAGGTTTCACTCTCTTCATCCTCTGCAGTGTCTCCCGTACCCAGATTCAGGATGCCCTTGCCGTCCCCTCCCCAACTCCTGGCCCCTCTCCTCTACTGCAGAGCCTCAAATTAGAAGGGAAGCTGTGTACCTCTGCTCGCTCAGGAGTCCTCTATCTCTGCTCTCTGTAGCATCCATTATGCCTCCAATGAGGATACCTCGCTCCCTCCCCAAATTCCGTGGTCAGCGGCAAATATTGCACTTCCTGAGGTCCTAACTATTAGGAAAATCGGGTGCTCCTCTCTCGTGCAGGGGTCCCCTCTTCCCACGGACTAGAGAGTTTTCCATAGCTCCTTCCCGAAAGTACCGTGCCCCTATTCCCGTCAGGTCTCCCTGCCTTCCTCCCATTTCAAGTCCCTTCTCTCATTGCGGAACACAGTAGCAGGAGCCTCCAACCCGCACCCGGGGGTCGCCCCGGTCCGCTCCGGAGCCCTCTACCCCCTCCTCCCACCTCTGGCGGCTCCTCTGACGCCGCGTGGACTCCTCTTCACTCCTAGGTCCCCAGCCCCGCCCCTGTCACTGCGGCGGAGCCGGCCGCCCTGGGCCGAGGGGGAGGAGGCGGAAAGAGCGGGCCCTCCTCCCCCGCTGCCCCCACCAGCTGCCGAGGGGCTGGACCGGGCCGGGCAGCTATAAAAGAGCCGGCGTCCCGGGGCTGCCGCAGTGCCGCCCGCCCCGTACCGGCCCCGCACCTGCTCCAGCCATGATGAGCTTCAGCGGCGCCGACGCGCTGCTGGGCGCCCCGTTCGCACCGCTGCTGGGAGGCGGCAGCCTGCACTACGCGCTGTCCCGCAAGGGCGGCGCGGGCGGAGCGCGGTCGGCGGCTGGCTCGTCTAGCGGCTTCCACTCGTGGGCGCGGACGTCCGTGAGTTCCGTGTCGGCCTCTCCCGGCCGTTTCCGCGGCGCGGCAGCAACCTCAAGCACCGACTCGCTAGACACCCTGAGCAACGGCCCGGAGGGCTGCGTGGTGGCGGCGGCGGCGGCGCGCAGCGAGAAGGAGCAGTTGCAGGCGCTGAACGACCGCTTTGCCGGGTACATCGACAAGGTGCGGCAGCTCGAGGCGCACAACCGCAACCTGGAGGGCGAGGCGGCGGCGCTCCGGCAGCAGCAGGCGGGGCGCGCCGCCATGGGCGAGCTGTACGAGCGCGAGGTGCGCGAGATGCGCGGCGCCGTGCTGCGCCTGGGCGCGGCGCGCGGCCAGCTGCGCCTGGAACAGGAGCACCTGCTGGAGGACATCGCGCACGTGCGCCAGCGCCTGGACGACGAGGCCCGGCAGCGCGAGGAGGCCGAGGCGGCGGCGCGCGCGCTCGCGCGGTTCGCGCAGGAGGCGGAGGCCGCGCGCGTCGAGCTGCAGAAGAAGGCGCAAGCCCTGCAGGAGGAGTGCGGCTACCTGCGGCGCCACCACCAAGAGGAGGTGGGGGAGCTGCTCGGCCAGATCCAGGGCTGCGGCGCCGTGCAGGCTCAGGCGCAGGCCGAGGCGCGCGACGCCCTCAAGTGCGACGTGACGTCGGCGCTGCGCGAGATCCGCGCGCAACTGGAAGGCCACGCGGTGCAGAGCACGCTGCAGTCGGAAGAGTGGTTCCGAGGTGGGCGGGCGCGCGGGCGTGGGGAGGAGGGGGCGCCTCCTGCTGGGTGGGAGGGGAGGTGGGGGCGCGCGTGGGCGGCAGGGAGGTGACAGGGCCGGAGGGGGCGGCTCAGTTTCGCCTGCGGAGTGCTTGCTCCTCAAGTTAAGTCTGTTTCACTCCGCATCTCTTCCCACCACCCACTCCACTCCACTCCCAGGCCCCGCAACTCTAGATTCTCCTCTGGCTGCTCTCCTCCAGTGTCCTTAAGTCTGTCCTTAAAGCTTAAAGCTCCGCTCCTAGCTTCGGTTGCCCTGATGCTCCTTTTCCATCAGGTTCCCTCGGGCGGGCGCAATGGACCCTTTTGTTGCCCTTCAGAGTACTGGACCTTCCCTCCCCAAGGCTGCCCTTCCCTACTCCTGCATACCACAGGGAACCCTATTCTCCTCACCCCTATCTGACTCCAGATAGGGAGGGATAGGGCCTTCTCACATCCTTTCTCCATGACAATTCCCACAACCAATTGGTGCTTGAGGCTGAGAGGTGACGGGGGCGCCCTTTCATGTCTGTCTTTCCTTCACAGAAGCTAGGAGCCTACCAACTGCACCCCCATCCCCACCTCCGCTGCCCTGAGTCAGCTAGATTACTGCAGCAGCTGTAATCTACAGATGCAGGGTGACCTTGGCCAATACTTGCCCTCTAGTTTTCATTTCACTACGCGGTGAAGCAGCTGGACTTCTTGCTCTGCAGAATTCTTGCTCTGCAGAATTATCCATAATTCTTCCTGACTCTGTAAAACGTGTGTGCCTTTGGGAGAGGATGCAGAAGTTTCAGCATTTTCCAAACAGGTCTGTGAGCTAAAATGGCCACCTGGATGGTTTCCAAGTGTGACAGCACTAGAAGCGAAGCTGGTACACCTGCTTGACGTTTCCTGCTTCCTTTTCCACTCCTCTGCGGTGGCAGAACTGTCCCCAACCCCTTCCTTGCAGCAAGGCTCCTGGAGAGCAAAGCTCTCTGCTCTCTGTGAGAGTCACACAGGCATACCCTCCTAGGACTTCTGGGTGCCCCAGCTGACTTTCCCACTCAGGTCCCAGGTGTCACTACCTCGGGATTCAGGATGTTCATTTTTCAGGAGATGTAGGCTAGACTCCATACCTCCACTGGCCCCTAAAGGTCTTTGGGAGTCTGAAGTTCGCTTTGAAGGGGCCTAGATGGCTACCATTGACTCAGGGGTTCCAGTGCTAGAGAACATGCAGGTGGGTAGAGGAAGAGACAGTAGCTGGCTCAAAAGCCCCAGGCTCTTCAGTGACCTTGAACTCTGCACCACAGAAACCTGTAAGGGAGGGACTGACCACAAGGTGATCTCAGCACCTTGCCTCCAAAGCTCACAGGACTAACTTGTTCAGAGTTAAGGCCTGAGGAGAGTGCTGGAGTTAAGCTCTCCAGCACTTTCTGGAGAGCTGAACCAGGCATTCAGACCAGAAATGGGGATCTCCTCTGTCCTGTAGCGCTTTCGAATCTGGAGTTGGGATTCAAATCTAAACTGTAATTCAAATCTAGACTCGGCTGTCTCTCACTAGCTGGGGAGCCTTGGGGGCTAGGGACTATCTGTCACACAAAATACAGGTTAGTTAAGTATCCAAGATGGTGCCTAGGTCACATGTGTCACTTTCCAGATGTAGATACCGGAACCCAAATCCAGGTATTTATAACCCCGTGCTCATCCCCTTCTCCCCTAGTGAGGCTGGACCGACTGTCAGAGGCAGCCAAGGTGAACACAGACGCCATGCGCTCAGCACAGGAGGAGATAACAGAGTATCGGCGCCAACTGCAGGCCAGGACCACAGAGCTGGAGGCGCTCAAAGGCACCAAGGACTCGCTGGAAAGGCAGCGCTCGGAGCTAGAGGACCGTCACCAGGCCGACATTGCATCCTATCAGGTGGGTGAGGCAGGAGTAGAGAAGAGGGCCAGTCGTTGGGTGACCCTGGACATGTCACTGCCCCACTCTGAATAAGGTTCCGTGGTTAACTATGGGCCCTGGAGTCAGACATACCAGGGCTGCCAGTATGACTCCCAGCTGTGTGATCCCAGCAGTTATCTGCCTTGTGGAATCTGAATTCCTCCAGTGCAATGATTTGTTTTACAGATACTTATTTGTTTATCTACCTATCTATCTAAGAACTGGGGTATAGGCCAGAAGTGTTGGGGATTGAGGAGGTTGTGTATAAGAGGAATCACCAAAGATAGTGGGGAGAACACTGAAATCCACTGCTGAGGAGAGCAGTGGGTCAGACAGGAGAAGTCTGCTGTGCCATGTGGGCAGCTTCCTGAACTCATGCCACAATAGCTTGATAGCACTGAAGCTTTAATCCCAGCACCAGGGATTAAAGAAGAAAGAAGGGAGAAGATTAAAGAAGAAAAAAGGGAGGCCCTCTCTGGTGCTGCAATGGGTTAAAGCACAGCACTATGAAGCTAGTTGCAGCTGCTTCAGCACAAGATCGATCCCCCGCCAGGGAGCTGACCCACATGGCGCGGCAGACCTCTCCTGCACTACCCACTGCTCCCCTCAGCAGTGTACTTGGTCAGTCTGCTCCCCACTCTGTCTCTGGTGAATCCTCTCAACATCCCCTGTACCTCTGGCCTGTTCAGTGTGCATAAATAAATAAATCTTTTTAAAAAATAAGAAAGAATGCCTGCTTTGTAGAACTGTAAAGATTATAGAGAGACAACTTATTTTTAAAGACTTATTTATTTATTCATACAAGAACTGGGGTATAGGCAGTGTGTGAGAGGATTCACCAGAGACAAAGTGGGGGGCAGAACACAGACTGACTGAAATGCACTGCTGAGGGGAGCAGTGGGGAGACAGGAGAGGTCTGCGGTGCGATGTGGGTCAGCTCCCTGGCTGGGGATCAAAGCCCTGTTGTAGTGGCTGCAGACAGCTTCATAGTGCTGTGCCTTAACACATAGTGCTGCCAGGCAGGGCCGAGAGACAATTTTTTAATAAGCATGAACCTGCTTACAGAGGGGATCTGGTAGGCAGTAACCAGTGTCTCTTCTATGGGTAGCCTGGGGAAGGCTTTGCAGACCCCACCATGAAACCAACTGAGAAAAAACTTTGAAAAAAAAAAAAAAACTTTAAAAGAACTTGTTAGGTAATTAATATGTGGCAACTATAGAAAAGGGAGCTGATTAAGAGTCAGCTGTAACAGCTGTAATATCTTACCTTAAGCCGTGACTACAGTGGGCCCCGAGTCACGGAGACACTTCAGCTCTGTATTACCCTGGTCATCACCAAGAGAGGCTTCCTGATCCCTTCCTGTGTGGCAGCCACTGTGGAGCTCTGGGAAATCAACGTCGCCCATGCAGACAAGTCCCATTCTCACTGTTCTCACTGAGCTTTTCTCAGCTTAAGAGAGCATAGCTGATCCACTGGCCAGTGATAGCCACTGGTGGTGGCTGGTGTTTCATTCCCTGGCTGAGATTATATACACAACCAAGACTTTTGCTCCAAAAGTCCTTGTCCATGCCCAGCTTTGCTAGGGTGGGAGTTGGCCTGCGTTTGTCTGGCTGGGTGGAACTGCTCTGGGTTCACACCGATAGTCCCAGAGTCCTGGGCAATGTGACTCGTGCGACCTCGTCTCTCCAGGAAGCCATTCAGCAGCTGGACAATGAGCTGAGGAATACCAAGTGGGAGATGGCAGCCCAGCTCCGGGAGTACCAGGACCTGCTCAATGTCAAGATGGCTCTGGATATTGAGATTGCTGCTTACAGGTGAGGTGGGCGGGGCTGTTGGGTAGGCAACCTTCTATTTGCATGAGAAGCTAAGCCTCAGGTTTCAAACCCCAAGAGTCAGCTTTCCCTTCTTAGAGACAAAGAAAAAATATTTGATCGTAGTAAAACCCATATAATGTAAGATTTGCTGTTAAACTGTTTTAAAGTAGACAGTTCTGTAATATTAGGTATATTTACATTGTCGAGGAACCATGAACACCTTCTATTGAAGAACTTCTTTTTCCCCCCAACAGAAACTGTGCACTTGTTAACTCCCCACTCCCTTCCCATAGCCCTGGCCTCCATTCTTCTGAGAGACCAAAAACTCTTGAGTGGTTTATTTTCATTATGACAGTGACTTAGAGGGTAAAGCTCCTCACCCTTTGCCCAGACTGCCTGCTTCAACGGGAAAGGAGGTAATTGTATGATCAGGGGTCTTTTCAAATCAATCTTAGAATTTCTTAGCTCTCTGAGCACTTGACTCCTGGGAAACGAAACAGGGGTTAATGATAACAGCACCCACTCATGGGGGTGTTGGGAGGAGTGGCTAATCCTGGTCATGAGTCAATCTAAGTACTGCAGGTACCACTGAGCTCCCCCAGAGCAAACTCTTGGTGAATGGTGACCCCAGCACCTCCCAGCTTAGCAGTTTCAGGCAGTGGAGCCCGGCTGAGCCTAGGAGCTGCTGTCTCTGCTGCTGGCTGGTAAACCTTCATTTGCCAGTTCTTGGCTCTGGTTTGTGTCTTGCCATTGAGAGTACTCTCAGTGAACCAGCATAATTAGCATCAGCTGAGAACTTGTTAGAAAGTCAGACTTTCAGAGGCCTCCCTGCTGGTGTAGAGGTTAAGTCTCAGCACTGTCACCATTCAGCCTGAATTCAGTCCCCACATGGCGCAGCAGACCTCTCCTGTCTCGCCTGCTGCTCCCCTCAGCAGTGTATTTCAGTGGATCTGCCTGTTCTGCTCCCCATTCTGTCTCTGGTGAATCCTCTCACCCCCCTGTACCTCTGGCCAACATCCCAGTTCTTCTACACATAAATAAATAAAATATTTAAAGGAAAAGAAAGTCAGACTCTCAGGCCTTCCCCTGAATCTGCACATTAATGAGATCCCTGGGTGATTTGTGTGCTGTTACATTTGTGAAGGCCTATGACAGAAGACCCTTGAAACGCCAGTGGGAGTGGGCTAACACCTCTTAAACTCAAATTTATAAATATGGAATTGTATGCTCAAGCTCCAGAGTTTCTCTTAAATAACAGTTTAGTTGAGGGACAATAAGTATAACTTTGGTTGATATATAGGAATTCTCTCTTGGGGGCCATTTTTCAAGGGGAGAATGTTTTGTAAGTCATAGCCCTAGTTGCAAAATATGGGCTATGCCAGAGAGATACAGATTCTGAGGTGATTTACTAAATGAATTTCCACTTTCAAAGTAACTATTATCCATATTCCTTTCCCCCTGAAGTCCATATCATTGCATGTTATATACCTTCAGAGTAATCCAGGAAGACCCCAAATCAGTCTGCTTTGAGTTAACAATAACATGTTCCATTATCCATTTGGCAGAAAACTCCTGGAGGGTGAAGAGTGTCGTATTGGCTTTGGTCCTAGTCCTTTCTCCCTTCCAGAAGGACTCCCTAAAATCCCTTCTGCAGCTACTCACATAAAGGTCAAAAGTGAAGAGATGATCAAGGTAGTTGAAAAGTCAGAGAAGGAAACCGTGATTGTGGAGGAACAGACAGAAGAGATCCAAGTGACTGAGGAAGTGACTGAAGAAGAAGAGAAAGAGACCAAAGAAGAGGAAGGTGAGAAGGGAGGAGAAGAAGAAGCAGAAGAGGGAGAAGAAGAGGCAAAGTCTCCCCCAGCAGAAGAGGCTGCATCCCCAGAGAAGGAGGCCAAATCTCCAGAAAAGGAAGAGGCCAAGTCACCAGCTGAGGTAAAGTCCCCAGAAAAGGCTAAGTCCCCCATGAAAGATGAAGCAAAATCGCCAGCTGGAGCCAAGTCCCCAGAGAAGGAACATATCAAGTCTCCAGCTGAGGTGAAATCCCCTGAGAAAACTAAGTCCCCAGTGAAAGAGGAAGCAAAGTTACCAGCTAAGATCAAGTCTCCAGTGAAGGCTAAATCCCCTATGAAAGAAGAAGCAAAATTACCAGATGAAATCAAGTCCTCTGAAAAGACCAAGTCCCCAGTGGAGGTCAAGTCCCCAGAGAAGGCCAAGTCCCCAGTGGAAGTCAAATCCCCAGAGAAGGCCAAGTCCCCAGTAAAGGAAGAGGCCAAGTCCCCAGTTGAGGTCAAGTCTCCAGCGGAAGCCAAATCCCCTGAGAAGGCCAAGTCTCCAGTGAAGGAAGAGGCCAAGTCCCCAGAGAAGGCCAAGTCCCCGGTGAAGGAAGAGGCCAAGTCCCCAGAGAAGGCCAAGTCCCCGGTGAAGGAAGA